CAACAATCTTGATAAATCTATAGAGTTCTTAGAACGCAACACCTGGTAGTCCAAATATGTTGAATACAACATGCCTTAAATACTAACACACAAATATTAATATCTCTTCCACCAAACTATGATTGCTCATATCATACACGAAGAGCGTCTTTTAATCATATTCGAACATCAAATGTACATAAGATTTTTTGACAAAGTAGTAGTAATTTTTGGATTAGTTAATGTAAATGATAAACTTACTTATACACCATGATACTGCAGCTCCTTGATAAGTAAAATCCTTTAATGGTGAGACTAGTTTAGAGAGCATTTGGGTAGTTCTAGAAAGGAAAGAAATGGTGATGGAGGCAAAGGGACGAAATTATGTGAAATTCAGAAAAAGAATGGAAAGGATCAACATAAAAAATCAAAAGCTGTCTTTCAAGATGTTAAAATCGTGCAGAAATTCAAACACATACGAGAGTAAAGCAGTGAAAGATAAGAACGGACTAATATTGAGAGATGACCAGGAAATAATAGAAAAATAGAAAGAACACTTCATGGAACACCTATTTTTGTAAATGGACAAGAAGATGAATAACAGGAAAGTGAAATGTCAGAAACGGATGAACAAACAGATAACTATGGTAGAGAACTTTACGAGAAGAAAACAATGAGAAGGTGTAAAAAATAGGTTCCTTGTTGAACACAGAAATATGCAAGCAATTTTGGAATGAACTTTTACATATGACGCGGTCATTATTGTTAAGTTAAAAGGAATTTAATGAAAATTCAAATAAAACGAATGAATTTATAAAGGATTTAGAAATGAATTCTTTAGTCGATTTTATAGAAAACTGACATCTAAGTTTAGGCATTTACGAATCATTTATGAATCAAAAACTGTAGCTAGAAACAAGAGTGGTTGGGCTAATCTGGCTAATTGGGCTAATTTATGTAATATTATTGCTCCCTCTTGAACATCCTGTAATCCCCTTATTAGGTCCTAATATGTATTATTGTAAACGTAATGAAGATATCTGGAAATTACTGAATATAAAGTATGTGCAAGAGATTAAAAATTATAACTTTAACTTTTTGCAGTTGATTGCCTCTTGTAACAAAACACAAGTTAATTTGTTCTTCGTTAATTTAGATGCCATGTGGGAAAAGTTGAAATTTAGTCTAGATAACATGTTTAATATGGATGTGACTAGAATTGTTACTAGGCACAATTTTAACAGAAAGGGTTTAAAACGATGTGGGGCGATAACAAGTCGTAAAAGGGAACAAATAATTATGGGTGGTATGAAATGAGTATATCTGGAACATCTTTGTCTCTATTTTTATACAAATGGGCCAGTATATGCAGAATGGTTGAGCCAATTTATTTTAGTACAATTTCCAATAATGACGAAGATTTAACCAACTATGTTAAAGCTTAAATGTTATTTTTGTTTTTAAGTAATCACTTACTTACTAAAATAACTACCTAGTTATTTTATCTATTTTTAAATGCTAAAGTTTTTATAAATCTCTTCACGTAACGATTACTGTTCTCGATGCCACATTCGAGTTATAGTCTTCTCTGACACAGAATATCGAGCGGCTGCATTTTTTATCGAACCATGTTTCAGTTTTTATAGAGATAATCACATAAGCCACATTCCGAAATCGTGATATTTTTCGTTGTTCAAAATAATCTTTATAAATACAGTATCAATAACATTAATTAGCTCAATTAGTTTAATTAATGGAAATTTTTATTTAGACCATGACAAAATTTGTGAGATAAAAAATTTTGTTTTATTCCACAAATAAATTGTAAACATGAATTTATGCATTATGGCTATGCGGTATATAATTGCTTTCCGTGAATCGTACTAATCTGTACTCAATTTGAACTATGACTTTTGAACTACGATGTATTGGAGACCGATTTTTGATACCAAATGTCATACTTTGCAATCAAATATACGTTATGGCATGAATTCGGGTGAATCCATCTTGCTAAATGATTCTAGAATTGCCTAATTTTAACCCCATAACGATGCTGGAGGAAGATAAAGAAAAATTATTACACGTTCATGAAAGTTACAGGAATTGCAAAAAATTGCAGGATAAGTGTGGCGGTTTGATATCAACCGTTGCTATCGTTATCTCGGTTATGGTCGCGACTAGATGAAATTCGGAAGATAGATCAGAAAATTCAAAACAAATGATTTTAACTGTAGTGAAGCGAAGCACAAGACAACTGAATGTATCAAAATATTTCCTATGTGACAGCACAAAAGATCAGACAACCCATCTCCCGGAATTCAAGAGTGTCCGTAACACTATGATGGCTTCGGAATCGGCCAAGAAAACAGAATAATAAAAGTAAACATGCACTGAACTAAAATAGCGGATGACTTTCTTTCCCAATACCAATGGGGCAGAAAGATCCAAAAAGAAACTGGAAACTCACAAAACTGAAAGCATGGAGATCCAAACCTGTGTAATTTAGGGTGTATCATGAATTTGCGACAAAGGATGTCTAAATCCTTTTTTACCAACAAAAAATAGAGCCGGAAACCTTTTACTGCACTTCATTAATCGTCAGCATAGACTGTTATCAGCACCGGAAACTCACTAAGACCTCACTGATCACGTAGAGATTCAAAAGGAATGACGTCAGACAACATGCATTTACTCTGGTATATCATGTTTAGGGCTTCTATTTAAGTTCTCCATCCAATCAAAAATACTTTTCACAACCCTGTTCATGTTTTCGTGGTGTTTATCATTTTGTATATTAGAAGCGTCTTTCATCCTGTTTTGATGTGCATAAAAAAGAATCTTGCTCGAAACGTTGTCGAAGCCTAGAAAAACATGAACAGCGTTGTGAGAAGTGTTTTTGATTGGATGGAGAGTAGTGGTCTATCTTTAGGTAGACCACGATTCGTTCAGGCGTTCCTTACCTTGGATCAACTTTTCAGTAACAGGAATGAAAATCAGCCATTGGTAAACCGCAAAAATAACCCATGGGTAGCGTATCACGACAAATATTTACAGAACAGGCTTTTATTTTCGTAGTTAGCCTACAAAATGACGTCAGTCCCCATATTGCAAGACATGTTATAGACCGATTTGCAGAAATTGTGGGAAGATACTGAGATGACTTGTTATTTTTGATAATATGTTTTATTGAAAATAACGAAATAAAACAATTACATTGTTATTATGATAATTCTCGTTTTTTAAAAATTACTGGAATTCCATTTGTGCTTACTAAATTAAAAGTNATCTGCAACTTCTTCACATTCCATTATGTGCCATCACCAGTATTTTTACAAATCTGAATTTATTTTTATAGAGATAATCACATAAGCCACATTCCGAAATCGTGATATTTTTCGTTGTTCAAAATAATCTTTATAAATACAGTATCAATAACATTAATTAGCTCAATTAGTTTAATTAATGGAAATTTTTATTTAGACCATGACAAAATTTGTGAGATAAAAAATTTTGTTTTATTCCACAAATAAATTGTAAACATGAATTTATGCATTATGGCTATGCGGTATATAATTGCTTTCCGTGAATCGTACTAATCTGTACTCAATTTGAACTATGACTTTTGAACTACGATGTATTGGAGACCGATTTTTGATACCAAATGTCATACTTTGCAATCAAATATACGTTATGGCATGAATTCGGGTGAATCCATCTTGCTAAATGATTCTAGAATTGCCTAATTTTAACCCCATAACGATGCTGGAGGAAGATAAAGAAAAATTATTACACGTTCATGAAAGTTACAGGAATTGCAAAAAATTGCAGGATAAGTGTGGCGGTTTGATATCAACCGTTGCTATCGTTATCTCGGTTATGGTCGCGACTAGATGAAATTCGGAAGATAGATCAGAAAATTCAAAACAAATGATTTTAACTGTAGTGAAGCGAAGCACAAGACAACTGAATGTATCAAAATATTTCCTATGTGACAGCACAAAAGATCAGACAACCCATCTCCCGGAATTCAAGAGTGTCCGTAACACTATGATGGCTTCGGAATCGGCCAAGAAAACAGAATAATAAAAGTAAACATGCACTGAACTAAAATAGCGGATGACTTTCTTTCCCAATACCAATGGGGCAGAAAGATCCAAAAAGAAACTGGAAACTCACAAAACTGAAAGCATGGAGATCCAAACCTGTGTAATTTAGGGTGTATCATGAATTTGCGACAAAGGATGTCTAAATCCTTTTTTACCAACAAAAAATAGAGCCGGAAACCTTTTACTGCACTTCATTAATCGTCAGCATAGACTGTTATCAGCACCGGAAACTCACTAAGACCTCACTGATCACGTAGAGATTCATAAGGAATGACGTCAGACAACATGCATTTACTCTGGTATATCATGTTTAGGGCTTCTATTTAAGTTTCTATGCTGTCAAGGAAATAGAGTACATCTTTAATTTATACGCTACAAAAATCATTGATAATAATAACCATATCCAAGGATAGACCACGATTCTCCATCCAATCAAAAATACTTCTCACAACCCTTTTCATGTTTTCGTGGTGTTTATCATTTTGTATATTAGAAACGTCTTTCATCCTGTTTTTATGTGCATAAAAAAGAATCTTGCTCGAAACGTTGTCGAAGCCTAGAAAAACATGAACAGCGTTGTGAGAAGTGTTTTTGATTGGATGGAGAGTAGTGGTCTATCTTTAGGTAGACCACGATTCGTTCAGGCGTTCCTTACCTTGGATCAACTTTTCAGTAACAGGAATGAAAATCAGCCATTGGTAAACCGCAAAAATAACCCATGGGTAGCGTATCACGACAAATATTTACAGAACAGGCTTTTATTTTCGTAGTTAGCCTACAAAATGACGTCAGTCCCCATATTGCAAGACATGTTATAGACCGATTTGCAGAAATTGTGGGAAGATACTGAGATGACTTGTTATTTTTGTTAATATGTTTTATTGAAAATAACGAAATAAAACAATTACATTGTTATTATGATAATTCTCGTTTTTTAAAAATTACTGGAATTCCATTTGTGCTTACTAAATTAAAAGTTGTAGCTAACTCTAATTTATGTTCTGGTTGAATTGAATGTAATGTAAAATCCTTTACGATGTGTGAAATGATATATTTCAATTCAATCATAGCAATTTTTTTCCCTAAAAATATTATTTCTATTAATAAAAGAGAACGAAAATTTAAAATTATTTACCTATACAATTTCTTGGTCCAATTGAAAACGGTGCATATGAGTATGGATTTATATCACCTATATTTTCTGGTGAAAATCTGTCAGGATTAAATATTTCCGGATTTGAAAAATTGTATTTGTGCAACGACGTGATGGAGAATACAACATCGATATCTTTAGGTATACGAACTCCATCTAATAAAGTTCATTAATTATTATTAATCAATTTTCTTTTCATCATACATTTTTTAATCAATTACTTATAATTATGGGCGATTTCAATTGTCTTTCTATGAGTGGTATGGGAGGATACATCCTCATAGCTTCCTTAATTACTGATTCAGTATATTTCAAATTTTGAATATCATCAAAAGTAAAAACGTAATTTTCATTAGTTCCAGCTAAAGATAAATATTCTTCATATATTTTTTGTTGTATATCTTTCCGTTTGGCAATTTCAAATAAAGCAAATGAAGCTGCCTTAGCAACCGTACCAAAGCCCTTAAAATTTAATATCATATATTACGTGTAAATAAAATTGATTTTGATAAAGAAAATACCGCAAGGACGAACGTTTTCAAATGACTCATTATTTCGTGTTCAGAATAATTATTTTCAAGTAATAAATCCATCAAATTCTTGTTTTCTGAATTTGTTTCTGTACGACCACTTTTTCTTAAATTTATATGTTTATGAATAAAATTCATAAATGTTTTATCCAAAAATTCATGGACTTCTACCCAAGATTTATACATTTTAGTAAATCGAAATAGTATACTATTCGATTTTATAACGGAGTATTCTCTTTCAAGCGTCATATCTAAGCTTTTGTCCACAGCATTCACAATTTTTGATGCGGTTTCTACACTTACATTATCATCGAGTAAATATTCTAATATCATATACATTGCACAATGATGTATTATTAAATGCACATCGACTGGCTGGTTTTCGTGTGTAATTAAAACTTCTTTAAAATTCTCCATGTGATATTTTAATTTGTTAGTGTAAGTAGAAATAAATTTGTGTTTAAAAATTGGATTAAAAAAAATTCTATCTGATTTCCATTTCTCAACTAAAATAAAACGAAGTTTAAAAATGTTTAAACTTCATTTAAGAAATACGTACCATCTGAAATTGTTCCTAATCCATCTCCAGCAATACTATGCAATAAATCATACAATTTAGTTTTATGTAAATGTACCTTAGACCCAAGTATAGCTTCGAAATATTTTGGGTCTGATACAATTAGAATAGGTCGAAACGGTTTTATCCAAATTTTAATAACAGACCCATATCTTTCTCGTAAGTTGAAGATGTAGTTGTAAAGATCTTTAAATTTTTGTGTGTCATGCCGAAATATTTAGGTACTCGACTTACCTGCATTTGATTTGTTTAAAACAAAAAGTTTTAATACTTCTAATAGATTTGGACCAGGTAATTTATTAATCGATTCGTATTTCGAAATTTTCAATATAATTGAAAGTGTTATTAGTATTAATACAACAAAAATTAAAAAGAAGTACATGTTAACGAATCACTTCCTGGTGTACGAATACATTCGAAATTAAAATAAAAACCAGACTGTTGGGTTCAACCTGATAACCTTGGGTACATATAATAATAAGATATAAAACGGTTTCGCATTTTGATTATTTAATCTCTGATACATTATCTTAGATATTATCACTTAAAAGAAAATTAAATTATTTTTAAATTAAATCCGAAAATATATTTAATACCTTGTACATTATTGTAAATCGTAATCAAATTTGACTGTAGAATACGTATTTTCAAGCAGCATTTCTAACTTTTTATCGACACCATCTTAGAATAATTTCAAAATGTATCTATTTATTTATTTATTGTTTTATATGTTCTTAATCTCAGTATAATTAACAATGCTGTTTAAAACTTTATTATTGTGAGATCAGACGATTAAATTGAACAAAACTGGAGGTACAACCATAATAGAAAAGATTAAAATTGATTTTGAGTTTGTCGATAAATCTGAATTGAATTAAATTTAAATGTAGGTATATAGTATAATAATTAAGAATTTATTTAAATTTTGATTTTTTCTTTGTCATATACAGGCTGGCCCATTGAAAACGAGCTGAGGAGCACAACATACAAAAATTTGTTAGAACGATTTATTTTCGAAATATCCGGTTTTAAAGATATACCACCTATCAATTTTCATTAAACATAAAAAACATTTCTAATAAGAAAAATTAAAAAAGAAACATGTTAATCATTGAGAAAAGAAATTCTTAACCCTTAAGAATAGTCTTAACCCAATAAATGTTCAAAGTTAGTACCACCAACATCCAACATTTATACAAGTGTATAAATTTTGTTCAAATTTTTGCCTAACATTTTCCAGCATTTAAGGAGTTATTATACGGCATTCATCAATAATGAGCTGGTGTAATTCTTCTAACGAATCGCACTCGGTAGCATAAACTTTAGATTTTAAATGCTTCCATAAAAATAATCTAAAAAGGACAGGTCTGGAGATCTGGCTGGCCATTCTACAGCACTAATTCGACCTATTCATTGACCGGGAAAGTGTCTATCTAAGAACTCCATAGCAGCAACGGTGGAGCACCACATTGCTGGAAAAATAAATATTGTTCCGAGTATCTTTCATCGTTCTAAAAATGTCAATTAAGGCAGCGTACACCAAGTCTTCCAATATTTAAAGATACCACAATTGTCGTCTATAAAGATTGGTCTAAAAACATTGAGTTTTTGTGAAGTTTGAGCGTAGGCTTCATGTAGGCTTCAATTATGATGACTCACAGTACCATTTAGAAAGAAAAAACTTTCGTGAGTAAAACAAATATTAAAAAGAAATTGTCTACTGTCAATTATGTTTTGAGAAATATATTCTCAAAATTGCAAGTACCGGTCATAAACGTCTTCATTCAAATCATGAACTAAGTTTATTTGATAAGGATGGAACTTCAAGTTTTTCAGAATTCGTTGAATAGCTGTTCTAGGAACATTAGTAATTGCAGCTAATTTTCTTGTACTTACAGTTGGATCTGCATTAACTTGCCCTATTACTTCCAGGTTTGTGAGTTCATTGACCACAGGAAATTCACGTTCAGGTTTCTTTTTATTAGCCACCGATCCAGTTTCTCGGAACTTATGTACCAACTCTAGAACGTACTTATGACGAACACGTCTATCAGGATGCAGGTTATTGAATAAACGTGCTATTTTATTAGCGTTTTCATTATTTTTAAAAGAAAAGCTCCCTATTTCAACTCTTACGGCAATTGTATATACCATAATTAATGTAATATAAAAATCTATTCAAACTAAACAACAAAAATCGAAACGTTCTTCAAATCACAACAGATGTTTTGAACTACAGTTTTCAAAATGAATTTTTATAATCTACTTGGTTCAATCTGGTCTTTTCTCAATGATTAATATGTTTTTTTTTTAATTTTTCTTATTAAAAATATTTTTTATGTTTAGTAAAAATTGAGAGTTGGTGTATCTTCTTCCCATTTGAAAAAAAATTTCAGATGACACCCCTGTTTAGGAGGGTAAAGTTTTGGGTATAATTTCCGCTTCAAAATTTGTCTCCCTGAGAAACAAAGTTGATGTGTTTCAAGTTTTTTTCGATAAAATCTTTCCCTGGCAGTTATGCTCTTCAGCTTGCTTTCAATGCACCAACCTGTATACAAAACTTCAAGTTGTAAGCATACACTCATTGCTGATATTAGTGTTATATGAAATATAGGTTCACATAGTTTGGTTTTGGTGAAACCGTAAATCCTGACATTTACCAACCATTTCAATAACGATAGATACCAAGGTGTGTTAGAAATAATAGAAATAAGAATACCGAATGTAAATCGTTTTGTAATCATTATTTATCAGCTAAGATTTGATACAGCTGATTTAAGACAAGAATATTCCAAACATGATATCCATTGACTTTTAAAGTAAATTTTCAAATCATTTATATTCCCTTGAATTTATTTGGAAAAACAGGGACGCATGACAAAAGAGATTAAGATTAATAAAACAACATATGATATATAAAGCTTGGTCCACACAATGCGCGAACTGAATCGAAGTTTGGTTCCACTTCAAAAAAAATGCGACGCTTTTTCGTTGTAGTTGAGATACTTTTCCTTTAAAGTCACGTACCAGTCCGCGCATTGTATTGACATAGCCTAATAATGATAGGAATATTATTTAAGTGATAATCTTTGCCTGGGCCGCTTCGACGAGGTTTCTATCACACTTAAGGCAAAAGTGGCAACTGTTCTAGTCAAACCAGTTTGTCTTTGCCTAAATAGGACAAATTATAATTGTTGCCGCCATTTACTTTCTTGATTTCTATCATGCATTTCTGATGTGATAGGTCTTCCTATCATTATTCAGTGTATCGCGACTCAGTTGATTAAAAGCGTCACTTACGGAATGAATAACTTGATCGTTATTGGAACCTTCAGTTTTGTACTGAAGTGTCTGTATGGCATTTTAAAAACCGAGTTCTAGTACATTAGTGTGAGGACTGTTAGAAAGTTGATACATTACGTTTATTGAAATATTTAAGAAATTTAACATCTTTATTGAAGTTCTTATCGTTGTCCTGTTGAATAAAAATCGATGTGCGACTATTAAACCGAAGCCACTTAGTTTCAATTGCAGGAACAAGTTTAGTATTATGTTTCTGTATTCACTATTGGTCACAGATTCAATGGAAACTTTAGAATCCCAGCTGTACGATTTTTACTTCTACATTTGGGTGGTTCTCGTTTTATAAATGACCAAATGCTTAATTTCCCATTAAACCATTTATTATGGCAATTATCCCACCGTGGACGAGCAACAGTAGCCAAAAACCTAACTTTTGTGATAAATCTCTTATTTTTGCATTTTTAATAAGGTTCTATCTCATCGTGAGTGAGGTAGTACTTGTTCGAAGTTTTTCTTTAAATAAAACCATTTTTCATCAACATGAGTGAAATTTGTAATATCCTTAAAAATAGGTATACCAGCAGCGATGCTATCAGAGTCAAGAAGCATTATTTTAAATCCTGAAATTTGTTGTGATCTGTAAGGAATTATTTTACTGCATTGGAGTGGTACTTAATTAATCCAGATTTAATAGTTCGGTGAATTGTGCTTTTCGACACTCCATTGCATGTACGATGAAGGCTTTTTCGCTTCCTGCCAACGTTTCCAGATTTTCGCAAATTTACTTTTTCACATACTGACTCTTCACGTAGAGATTGCTGTCTTCGATGCCAAATTCGACTTATAGGTTTCTCTGGCACAAAATATAAAGGAGCTGCATTCTGTATCGTACCATGTTTCAGATTATCATTTATATTTGCCTCTAGCTAATAATGGTACACACTTTAGCGCATTTCTTGCGTTAGATTAGGATTTTTTCTTCGTGTTGCAATATCTGCAACTTTTTTCAATTTTATTATGTGACCACATCAGTATTTTTACAAATTACTATTTGTAAACGATACAAGATTTGTTAAGTATCAACTCAAACGTTAAGTTGATGCGTTAAAGCTCTTCAGTTCTTTTATCCTTGAGAACATTTTGGTGATGTGAGGTGTTTACTATTTTTCTCTGTTCCTTCTGGTCTTGCGCCATCTGTATGGCCTTCAGTTTCCTCTGCCTATCTGCCCATCATATCGATGCTCTTTTGCAATCAATTTTTTTTCTATACAACAAAGCTTTCCATCCGCCTGGTTTTTAAAGTAGGTGTCCAAACTAGCTAAGGTATGACCTATTAATCAGCTTGAGCAACCTGTCCTTTATCTTTAGTTACATTTATTATAGCACTCTTTTAGGGATAATTTCTAATCTTTTCGTGGCTACAACTTGATGTTTAAAAACGTTATAAATATTTGAAACTCCAAAGGCTTCTATTTTTGTGATGATGTTGCTAACTAAGTAGCAAATTTTCCATGTCCTCACTCGCTATATTTAACTTATTAATTAATTTTATAATTCGCAAACGCTGTAAAACACAGTTATATCAACAAACACAAAATACGTTATATGTTTTATTTTATAATTTTGATTAAGTTCTCTTGTATTTTTAGTTTGTACAACCTGCACTTGACGGCATATGCAACTTTTATATTATTTGATTATCGCTTAATTTAGAGAGCTAAATAAATTGATATTTGTAGTTCACAGTTACAATTAGGTTATATTCAGTGATGAGTCCAACAAATTTATAGAGGTTATTTCATTCCATTTCAACACAAAAACTTTTATAAAATCATTACAACCCAAGGTATTTATAATGCATTTACCCTAATTCAATAGTTTTCTATAAATGTTATAGCTAAGTAACTGCTTCGCTTCACGCAGCCGTTTTCTGTCGTCTCTTGACCGTTTCTAAACTACATAAATATTGTTAGTGTTCCGCCATTATCTTTATGTG